TCCTTTCTGAATTCTAAAGTAACTCTAAAAATTATCCAGCTGGGTGCAGTGGCGCAAGTTTGTAATCCCAGGGACTAGGGAGGCAAAAGGCAAAAGGAGCAAAGTTTGATCCTTATGTAAATGCCGGGACAATTTAGTGAGAATTTGTCTGAAAACAAAACATGATTCAGGGAGCAATGGTACAAATCTGTAATCCCTGAGACATAGGAAGCTGAGGCAGGAGGATTGCAAACTGCAGGCCAGTCTCCGCAATCCAGGGAGAACATATCTCAAAATAAAAAGTGCTGGAGATGGTGATGCAGCTTGCTGGTAAAGCACCCCTGGGTTCAATCTCCAGTACTTCAAGGAAAAAAGAAAATCCAAATCATTGCTCTGTAACAATCACAGCTTCACCCAGGATGCATGGTGTTCTAGAGCAACGGCCTCCATATGCATACCCTGGCCTAATCCTCCAAGCAGCCCTCAGTCCACTAACTTCTGTTATGAGTAGAATTCCCTTCTCTCATTCATTAGCTGTGGCCTAGCTAAATGTCACCAGATAGGATGGGATGCCAAACTACTGAGTTTGGTTGTGGATGCACAAGGGATTCCCTCCTTTCCTCCCTGAAAATGGGGTGTGGGTGGCCAGATGTCCTGATCTCACAACTGGGCGCTTCCTATCCTTTGGGACACTCCTCTGCCCAGCCCCCACTGCCACATCATCATTTCCCACATCTGCCATGGGAAATATAGTCTCTCCTCCTTACACCCACTCCAAAAAACCCACACCATCAGAGGAGCTGCTTTTCCAAATCCTTCTCTCTTCTTGCCTGGCCACCCAAGCAATCATATCTCCTCAGCCTGACTTTCCCATAAACATTGCTGCCCCCAGCCTTCCCTATTAGGTCTGCCAAGACACACAACTATTTTTACTACATTCTCTTCTCAGGCCACAGACCTCCACAGACCTGGGAGGAGAGGCCTCAGCTTTCCTCCAGCAGTGGAGGCCCCACCCCTTCACCCCCACCTGGGACAGCCTTGCCATAGCTCAGAGAAATTTTACATCCGGAGACCCACCCCTGTTCCTGGAATTTTTTCCACACCTCAGAGCTTCTCCCAGGGTTGGGAACATTTTGTTCTTAGTTATCCATGTGGGTTTGGGGCTCAACCTAAGCCAACAACCCAAGCTCTGCCTCAACTCTCTGCCTCCACTGGTCCTGGCTTAATACAGATGCAGTCAAAGCCACACTGTGACAGGAAACCGCCCCCCCCCACACACACACTATCATGGATCATGCTAAATGCCAGGAAGAGCATTTCAAGGGAGGCCCCTGGCTTCTGTACAGAAGTCTTCCTCCTTCTATACCTCCATACCTGTCTTTTTCTCTCAGACTCTCCATCTTTTTAGCATAGAACTTTCCCAGGTTCCACAGTCTGGGACATTTGGAGTCAGAATGTCACCCATCCAAGCTCTTCATGGCAACTCTCTACCATACTAGGCTCTGGAGAAAAGATAAAGCTGGCTGGGTATGGTGGCACATGCCTGTAATCCCAGCAACCTTGGAGGCTGAGGCAAGGGGAATCACAAGTTCAAAGCCAGACTCAGCAATTTAGCTGGTTTTCTGCCCCAGACCCCTTGTTCCCTTTTCCTAGATGCCACCCAGGGCTAGTCAGGTCTCAAAACAAAAACAACAACAAAAGAACCTTCACAACCCCCTCCCCACTCCACTGCCCTCAAGCAGTTAGATTAAGTGGCAACAGTTCTAGGAAAACACTTTTCTACCAGACTATCCTGTAATTGGGGGAGCAACACTTTTCAAAAGCAAAAAAAAAAAAAAGACAGCACGCCTATAATCCCAGTGGCTTGGGAGGCTGAGACAGGAGGATCCCGAGTTCAAAGCTCAAAGCCAGCTTCAGCAAAAGCGAGACTCTGTCTCTAAATAAAATACAAAATAGGGCTGACGATGTGGTTCAATAGTCGGGTGCCCCTGAGTTCAATCCTCAGTACAAAAGGGGGGAAAAAAGCCAAGAAAATGCTCTTAAGAGAGCCAGTGGAAGGGGACCAGTACCATGTTTGCTTCTGTCCCACCACCACATCCTCAGAGGGATGCTGGCATACCATCTCAGTTTCTCTGTTCTCCTCAAATCTACTCCCAGTCTGCATATCTAATTGTCCCTAGAGAGACAAAGGCAAGGCCTTCACCTCACCTCTAGCCTTCCTTTTCATTTCTCTTGGTCAGGAAGAGGATGGGGGAAGAGAGAGCATAAACTAACCCCTACAGCCTCCATGA